ATTGCAGCGCTCATTATATAAACCACCGTTCAACATCAAACACGAATTTGGGGGATCAGCTTAAGCTTAATAACCCAAAACATAAGTGAATGATCACTTGACCTTTTCTCAGACTGTTGAAAATTTTAAAATTAAAGTTGCTTTCTTGATATTTGAAAAGGGAATCATTAAAAAATTAATTTAGAAATTAAAATAGTTACAAATACATGGGAGTGTAACTTCTGTGCAACAAAAGTACAGCAAAAATTACACGAGATGTTTTTGGTAATATTTTTTTTCATTCCGACTGTCATGTTAATTTCCCTTTTGAAAGCTTTATTGTTCATTTTTTGGAAAGCTTTAAACAAAGTTTTGTAAGTTCGTCTCACGTTGGAAAAGTGGAGGAAAATTATAACATTTAATAAAGTGCTATATAAAATATTCATTTGAATAAAGAATTGTGGAGTTGAACTGTGTGATATTTTGATAACTACTTCCCACTATACATAGTAACATGTTGATGTAAGCGCTTAATTATGACCATTTTTCAACAAGAACAATCACAAAGTTTGTGTCTAATGATTATTCGATATGTACCGATACAGAAATATAGTATTGGTACTAATAATTAAGTATCACTAAGCTAAAATGGTATTCCTCTTTTGCATATATATATATTTGAATCATTAGAATTCACTCAACTCATCCTTTTTCTAGTCTATAGGAAGACTCCACACTGCACCTTACCCTAATTACACTGTAGAAAATCATTTTCAGAGGCTAATACTTGGTTAGAAGAGTGCAAAGATGATAAGGTTTTATCTGTAAAAAAGAGAAGAAAAAGTAAAGATTTTTTTATACACTGTTATAGATTAGATACTCTGACTTGATTAGGTTTATTTATTATCTAAAATTAAACAATTAGTGTATGAATAAATGTATTTGCTCAAAAAATTATATTAAAGTGTGATTAACAATTCAGACAGTGTTTAGCATTTAATTAAAAAAATATGATACAATCATTTTTCTTAATTTGTAAGTGAATAAGGTCAAACTAAGTGAATTTGAATCAGAATTCAATGTTGTTGTGTGTATAAAAAATACATGTCATTGTAAAAATTCTTTAATTTTTTTTAAAATAGGAGTGAATGAGCAATACAGTACGCACAATGATAAAGAACCAATCATAGTGCCAGTAATCATTAATTTAAAAAAGGACAAAGAAAGAGGAAAAATGGCCGGCTTGTACAAGCCCAATCTTAGCTTTCTGCCGACATTAATTTATAAAAAATTGACAAAAGAAGTCACATTTTTTTTTTTTTTTGAATTTTTTTTGTATTTAATGATTTTTTTTTTTTTAATTAATGTTCAAAAATTTTATTTTTCAGACAGCCATGTGGTAGATAAATTAAAAGATAATATGTTTTTTGAAAATTCTAAAATATATATTTAAAAGCTAAAATAAGCAACAAAACAAAAAGAAAAGAAGAAGAGAAGACACATATATATATGCACTACTAATATATTTTTGACTAATTTTTATCTTTTTTTTATTTTTTGATTTGTCTCATGAAACTTAATAATAGAAACCTAATAAAAGCTTTCTCTGAAATGATTCTAAAATCAACAACAAATCAATATCACTTAATAAGATAAATAGTATATCCTTTTATTTTATATCCGGTGAAACAAACAAGAAGAAGCATTAATAAGTTCAATTAAAAAAACACATCTCAAGACTATGGTGATAAGTAACATCTCTAAGCATATCATAATACCAAATTTGAAATACGTTGAAAATGGAACTCAAGTCAGGTGTGATTTCAACATCAGCATAAAAGTATGGTATATATTTTTGCTCGCATACATCAGCATAGTGCTATAATAATATTCAACCCAACCTTTTTCTTTTTTCTTTTTAAATTAATTCTACGAGCACGAAAAATTAAGTATATAAACAATACATCACACAACCATTATTGAGATGACACTCATATATGTAATGCTATTATTATTACAGAGTAATCAATATTAACTATCAATATCAGTTAACATAGCTGCAGATCTATGATTAACTACTATAACTCATAAGATGACTAGAAATGTAGTATCTCAATTTATAATTTGAAAGAACCAACTAGAGTTCTCATATTATATAATACTCATTAAACTGCTAATTTGTGCATGTGTTTTGTCCGACTCCCTGGCACTCCG